AAACAAAAGTATAAATATTGGATTGAAGGAGAGAGAGAGAGAGAGAGAGAGAGAGAGAGAATGTGATTTATTTATTGACTTAAATGTGAGACTTAATGAGAGGTAATAATTGAATGCACTTAATAGTATTATTTTAATTGCATTTTCTACTTAAATCTTCTATTCCATTTTCATCATTAATAAAAGAAATTATTATTTTCATATTTAATATTATGAAGATATAACATTAGAATTGTACCAAAATGCTTTATACAAAGCTTATATTTTTGTTTGAGATTCTATATATTTTTTAATATTTTTTACTTAGTTATGAAATCATAGATTGGACCCATTTTACCTGTAAGATTAGATCGTTGACCTACCATCTAGATATGAAAGTGGTTTCATTTTCAGGTTGGTTTTAAAATTTGAATTTAATTTTTATCACTAATAAAATAATTATTATTCATCATACTTATTTTTTGTTAATATGATTAAGATATAATATTACAAATGTAGGGGTGAGCATTCGGTTTATTCGATTAAAAACCAAACCAAATTGAAATCGAATAATAGAAAAACCAAAATTTTCGAATTGGCTTTTAGTTATTTCGATTAAAACCAAATTTTAATAATGTATATACTATATTATATACATTATAACATATAATAAATAATATACATTACAAAAGAAAATTTCATTATATTATATATTAATATAAATAATATTATATATTATATATTGCATATGATATACAAAAGTTCAGTTTATTTGGTTAACCAAATTAACCAAAACCCTAAAAAAAAAAACAAACCAAAATTTTCAGTTTGGTTTTAACCGAATTATGCTCATCCCTATAATAGATGTGCCCAAAATTGTTTTGTATTTTTTGTATTATTCTATTTTTAAAATTTTATTTTTAATTATACATCATGAGTTAACCCATTTGACCTGAAGGGTTGAACCACTAACCCACCTCCTAGATAGGAAAATTGTTTCATTTCCCATCAGTTTTAAGTTGTATATTTAGTGTTAATCATTAATAAAATTATGTCTATCCTATCATACTTATTTTTTTAATATGACAAATATATAATAATATAATTGTGTCCATTTTTTTTCAAAATTTCTTTATTTTCTATATTTTTGTATTTCTAAATTTTTATTATTTATTTATGACATCATAGAATTATCCATTTGACCCAAATGGTTAAATTACTTACCCACCACCTAGATGGAAAAATATGATTTCATTTCTAAGTTTATTTTAAAAATATCAAATTTCACTGTATTAATAATAATTGTGTATAGATTTATTAGTAAAATTTAATATTGAGAAACAAAAGTATTAATGTTGAATTCAATGAGAGAGGATGTGATTTATTTAATGACTTAAATGTGAGACTTAATGAGAGGTAATTGAATGTATTTCATAGTATTATTTTAATTACATTTTCTACTCAAAGGTGAGCCAAATTCAAGAGAACGAGTATTTTAGTAAAGAAAAATTTCAGAAGCCAACACCTTATTCACGCTTTTATAAGTAATAATATACATCATTATAATTGTAATAGCATTAAAATGTCAATTTTTTTCTCCATGGGGTAACTCAACAAGGGATGTCCATCCCCTCAAACCCATAAATCCCCCAACCCTGGGGCAGGCGGGATTTGATCTGAAGTCTCCTGCCTTACCAACCCGTCAGTTGACACCTTAGTGGTTTGTGTTCACATTTTTTTTTTCAAAATACAATTAATGCACCATGGATTTTGTCTTGATTAAAATATACATATAAATTTAAGGAAATCAATCCAAATTATGCTGATGCTCAAGAATACTATAGCTATTATAATTTATAAATGGGATTTTTTATCTAAAACTCACCCCACATTTCTTGGATTCTCTTAAACCTGCCCTAACTTACCTCTAAAGACCCCCCTTGTCTTTTAACAGAAAATTTATCTGACAAGGGTCTCTAGATATCCAAAGCTCAAGGCTAATGTAAAAAACTAAAAAAAAAATACAGAGTTATCAAAAATCAAGGGTAAGCTTAAAAAATACTAGAAAAGGAAGAGAGTTTTAAATAAAAACCCTTTACAAAAAAGTAGTTTAGAAGTTAAAACCGTTTAGCTTTCAACAATTTGTCGTAACTTGGCAAATATAGGCGTTTAGGGTTTAAATCATGGTTTTCAAAATCGACTGGACCGGAAAAATTGGAACCGGTCAAGTGACTGGTTCCGTTTTTCCCCAAAACCAGATTTTTGCCAAAAATGTTGATAAGTATCGAAAACGCTATGTGTATTGGAAAGACAAATTTAAGAGACGTATCGGGATACACCTTGGATACGCATGGATACGGACAAAAAATTAAGATATGCATGGAAACACATGGAAATGCTATAAATACTCTAATAAATCATAAATAAACATTAATATCACTAAATATAAGACATAAATGAGCTATTTATGCATAAAAATAACATGTTTTAGTGGGTTTTATGAAAAAAAAAACAAATTTTAATCAATAAACGGGAAGTCGGGAACAGAAACATACTATCTAATTATGGACATTATAGATCAAGTAATTTTTTTCATGTTTTATTCTATTTTTTTAAAAACTAAATTATTTATTTTTATTCAAATAATTATTTTGCATGTTTTATTCTAATTTTTTAAAAACTAAATAATTATTTATTTTTATTCAAATAATTATTTTGCATGTTTTATTATAAAAATTAAATTAAAATTAATAAAAGTAAATATGTAACAAAAACTTGAATGGATTTATGGACATAATAGATGAAATAATTATTTTGCATATTTTATTCTAAATTTTAAAAATAAATAAATATCAATGTTTTAAAACATAGAGGTGTTCCACTACCTAGAGGCATGATGCATAGTTCAGAATGCAAGAGGCGTAGGCCTCTTGAACACAAGGAGGTGAAAGCTTCCTTAAGAGGAGGAAGGAGGAAGGGGGGATTTCATGTTTTTTTCTGTCTTTAATAAAAATCTTTTACAATAAGAACAATAATGATGCATAACAATTGTTAAAAGGGGGGTCTTGTCGAAGCGGAGGCGCCGAAGTGGAGCAAGACCCCCCTAACTCAAAAAAATAAATTGGGTTACATCAAAAAAGGGGACGGGGGTCTGGGGGCGCCCCCCAATCGAAGGGGCAGGGGGCAAACCACTTTCTTTCCCCTAATATTTTCTAACATTGGCTGAAAATGTAAAAGAAATTTGAAAAAACATATTTATTTTCTCTCTTTTTTTCACAACCTTGAAAAACTTATTGAATCTTGCAAATTTATAGATGTTTTGGCAAATTTTCACACGATTTGAGTCTTTAGAAAGGTTAAAAAGCTTTTTGAAGGGTTTGGGAAAGAAAGAGGGCTTTTGAAATGGGTTTAGAAGCCCTCTTTCGAAGGGAGTTTTATTTGCGATTCCGCCACAGTAAAATTGTACTGTATCGGTTGATATGCTACTGTATCAGTAGCGTATCGACTGATACGGTGCCAAAACACACTAATACTCAATGATACGAGCACGATACAGCATCGATACAACGAATAGATACGACACATTCAATTTGGTACCATGTACCATGCCGAACACTTGCCGAAACGATACGTATCGACCGATACGGGTCGATACGTGACGAAATTTTGAACCTTGGTCAACAAACCACTGACCTGGGCGGTTGAACCGTTCGAACCGTTCAATGGTTTTGACCATTATTTATTTATTTATTATTTTTTTGTCAGAACAAGTCGACTATTCGGTTCGAATCGTTAGACCATTTGACCCGGGAATCGGACCCCTGACCGGTTCGTTCTCCTGGTCGATTTCAAAATCCTTGGTTTAAATGCCTTCACATGCATATATATAATTTTTACAATGGGGAATTCAAATGTAGTCAAATGGTTTAGATTATTGGGTTTTAGACTTTTTATGCAATGGGTACGTACAACCCAACCCATTTTAATTCTATTTAATGGGTCATTTTATTCAAATTCAACCCGCTAAGACAAAAAAAAAATCACTTCAGCTATTAAGGAACTTGCAACTCTTCTTAATTAGGGTTATAACCAGGTTGAATTCAGATCAGATCCCACTAGGCTTGTTCATTTGCTCAGACATCTAACATCTGAAAGTGCAATAATTACATTAAGAGGTATATTGGTATTGGTGAACTTTTTTTTCCTCTGAACTCTGAATGCAGAGAATGTTCTGAATTCTGAAAATTGTCAAATGTCCATTTTAACCCCATATATGAGAACTTTTGTTTGCTTTTCGATGGCATCATTAGAAAACAAAAAATTGTAAAATTCCACTTTAAGAGATAAGAGATAAGAGGCATCGAACACCCATTTTCCTTTTAAAGTTACAAGACTCCTCTTAAGAGATAAGAATTAAGAGGAAACGAACACGTATCTAAACCCAATCAAAACATTAAGCTCAATTTGGCATGAGTACAAATACAAATATGTATAGTGCAAATACATATAAAATATTACAAAATACAAGGTTTTATTATATCCTACATATTCATATTTGTAATTTCCAAACTGAACCTTAAATCCAAAATTTGATATATCAAACTTATATTGGATTCGGATTTAATCCAAGTCCAACTTATTGTACTTAAAATAAAGAAAAAATAGAAAAATTGCTTTTTTAACTTATATAGTAAGTTTATATAAATATGAATTATTAAATTTATTAGTACTAAGCTTTATATAATTGTATATAATATCATATATATACACATAAAATAATATTATTAATTAGACTTGGATTTTAATCAAATCAGATAGGTTAAATCCACATATGATCTAATTATTAATTGGATGTAAGTTCTAACATTGAAATCAAGGACAATCGGATCAGATGTGGAAGCAGGTATTAGACATTTAGACTCCATTGACAGCCCTATTCTGAATCACTGAAGAGATAATGCAACAAGTCATTCAGTTCAGTCACTAGGCTGTAATTAAACAGTACCAAAGATGTAAAACTGTTGATGTAACATAACGTTGGACTTCATTAGTAGGAATTAAAGATCAATGTGTAAAACCTTTCCAGTGAATCCACAACTTTTTGAAACATGACATTGAAAGCTCAAACCACATTTCCATGCCTGATGACTACACCATGTTGAATGTATTTGCTCGGTAGCGACCAGAGAAACAGAAAAATTGTTCATTCTCAGAACCAGATAAAGAGAACTTCCGAGCAAATTCTGGTGCAACAGTAAAATTGTTCTAGATAAGGTAACTTTACATATTCTCTAGTATCTATAGCTGAACTTAAAAGTTGATATACACAGCCATACAAGTCAGAGATTCATCCGAACTGCAAACCAAGATAGGCATTAAACAACACAGCGGTAAGTAACATGTGAACCAGTAATTTCACCACTGTAGATAACTTTTACCACTTGCCCCTTCTCAAGTCCATAGTATCGAGCAATTGCATCACTCTGTAGCATTCTAGGCATCTGCAGAGCACCTATCAAATATCAGTTTGAGCAGTTATATATCATAAATATGAATCGAATAAACCAATCTTTTTCAAAACCTGTCGTATCTTTAATTTCTCACACAGAACCAGGAAACAACTTTAAATTTCTTTCCATATAAAAAAATCTGAGTGACAAAGGATTCACTATTTCAGTTCGATTCTGTTACCATAGAGATATTTTCAAGGCCGTTTCAAACATAATTTTCAAGGTTCCAAGGCAAGGCTAGGCGACAGGAGGCACCATGTCACCTAGTTGCTGCCACCTAGGTGATAGATTTTTTTTTCTTCTTTTTTGAATAAAAACTATGAATCCTAGGGTAATTTCTTAGGTTCTATAGCAAGCAGCAACCATCTTTCACTATTAAGAATATATAAGTATCCAAGAGCTGCATGTAAAAACTATCTTGGCCATTAAGCAAGGTGACCCTTCATGAGTGCCCTCCTTATTACCCAGTGTTTCAAAAACCGACCAGGAGGCAGAACCGTTTTTGCCTCCGGGTCACGGGTCACAGGTTCGACCAGGCGGGTCAGATGGGTCAGACCATGCCACATCAGCCATATGAAAATTCAAATATATATGTGTGTGTGTGTGTGTGCAGTGAAAATTTGATGCATTTCAGGGTATGCGCCTCGCCTAAGTCCTAGGCGCAGCCCTTTGAAAAGGCACACGCTTGGTGCACCTGATGCGCCTTGCGCCTCATCCCAGGCGTGCTCCTTTTGAAAATTTGATGCTTTTTTGCTTTTTTTGAACATAGCAACTGGGCCGGGGCTCCGCTACCAAACCCCCGTACCACGCCCCTCGAGGCAAGCCCAAACAAGTCCACTTTAGGTCTAAAATTCTTAGTTTTCACACAAAAAATAATGATTTTATAGTTTTAATTGCTTTTTAAGAAGACATTTTATTATGATAAAATGTTGTTCATTCATTCATCCTAATATAATGTCTTCTTAAAAAGCAATTAAAACTATAAAATCATTATTTTTTGTGTGAAAACTAAGAATTTAAGACCTAACATGAACTTGTTTGGGCTTGCCTCGAGGGGCATGGCACAAAGGTGGCTTGTAGAATCAGGAATGTAATATGTTTTATATTACATTAGCCACTTGAAATAATGCAACTGAGTGAAAAAAGATATTAGAGGTTTGACATGCTTGAAAATGTTTTATATGTTTGATTTTATTTTTAAATTCTCATTTGAATATGCTTTACATCTTATGTTTATGTATTTTAATTTTAGATAATAGGTTTTCTAAAACATTATTTTAAAATTTAAGTTTATATTTTTATTAATATTATGTTTAATATTTTTTTTTGGCATTTGTTTTTGAATTTTCTGACTTTTTTTTATTTTTAGCATGTTTTTTTATTTTGCGCCTTGCTTCAAAAAGGCGTGAGCCTCGCCTTGCGCCTCAGGCGCAACTTGACCCCTGTGCCTTGTGGTTTTAAAACTGTGTGTGTGTGTATTGATATGTATAAACATGTATTTTATCAATAAATAATGTATAATTATGTTTTACATGTAATATATGAAATGTTTTATATTTAATTTATATTTTTTTAATTCAGTTGTAAATTTTTTAATTGTAAAAAAATATTAAAAATTGCAATTTGAGGCCAAAAAAGGGTTTTTTGGAAAAAATAATGGGGGAGGCACCTTGGGACGCATAGATTTCAAAAAGTTACCCAAAACCAAAAAAAATCACCTCAATCGAACACCGGATGCAAAGTTATGGCCTCTTGAAGTTTGCATACACAGTTAGTATGCAACCTGCAACCCGCTCAGTGGGTCGAATGGATCAACGGTCCAACTGTCTAGGTCAGACGTATTTGACGAAGTCAACAGTTTTTTGACCTTTTCTGGGTTTTACTCAAACCAGACCTAGAATCTTGACCGGGTGACGGTTCGAGCGGTTCAACCAGCCAGGTCAACAATGGGTTGAAAACACTGCCTAGGCATCACCTTGACAACTATGTTTTCAAAGTCACACTAAGCTAGAGATGGTTAATATTGTGTATGACCCTTTTTACTTTTTTATGGCCAAAGCAAAATGATAAATAGAGTACAAACTTGTTGATGATTCAAAGTAATGAAAGACTTGTCCCCCCCCCCCACACACACACAACAAAACACAGTTTGGTGTAAAGGACAAGATTGACAATTCTGAAGCACAAATGACTTCTTTACAGCAGTAAACGAATGGTTTTGAAACTCTATCTTAACAGGAGTAATGGTGAACCTTGAAGAATTCCACTTCGATTATTAAATGGAGTGGGAAAACAACCTTTGAGATTCAAAAATGAACAAAACAACCGGTAAAGAAGAATCATGATCTAATCAAAAGAGTACATTGGCTTCTTTGTCCGACACTACTAAGATTGGGTGTCTGCTCTTGCAATATATATTTCCACAATGAAAGCACAGCACACTGCCTAAATTCTCTTCAATTGTAGAATCGATATTATGAAAGAATCAAGAAAAAGTTGCATATGTGCTTCTGTATTTGAAACCAAAGTAGCACTGCAAAAATAATTTAAGAAACTCGTTCTTCACATCTCAGATAACATGCAACTTTCATAAACAGGGTTGAATAGAAACATTGACCTGCTTGTCCTCCAGGCTGTACTTATTTAGTATCTTTTCTTTCTCTTCTGGAGTCAGAATTTCATGCTTTGGTTTCAAAACATGTTTTGTAATATTGATCAATAAGTCAGTAATCTGCAAAAGAAAACAAGCCATAATTAGAACATACTAACTCAATAGAGCTTGAAAAGGAAAGAAGGGTGAAAAGGGTGGGGGCACAAGGTCAAAAGCATACAAGGCTGATATAAGCATATACCTAATTTTAAAGGTAAGAGAACCAAAAAGTACTCTTTAAATCTAAAGAAGCCAAGAACAAAAAGAGAGAACTCATCTTTTCTTCTTGTTAATTATTTTTTATCAGTAACAGAAACTTTATTAATATGTGACAAAGGACATTTAGAAACAGCTCAATGTTGACAAGCAAAATTGGCACAAATTTCCTACCAGGACCAGGCAGTCCAACAAAACTTTGTTTACTACGTCCCTGGCTAGCATATCTGCTAGGTTGTTTGCTGACCTGGGAATCCATTTGAACGAGTGCCGAGTGGTTCATTGTGGATATCAGTAGCTGGATCTCTTTTATGATCTTATCCTTTTTTAGTAAACCTCTTTATCATCTTATCAAATGACTTGGGTTCCACAAACCTTGATCTTCAGATGTAAACCATCCAATCACAATTTGGAAGTTACCTTCAATGGAAAAATCAGTTCAGCACATTTCTCTACTCAGTCTGAGACCATTGGGAAGTGCTAATATTTCAACTTTCAAAGTCCTCCAGCTGGTATGCAAGTAATTTAGCAGAAGCCATCAAAGTTGAGCTTCAGTTTACAGATTTCTGGCTTTTCCCAATTCCCACTGTATCAGAGAGGGTTGTCTTCTTGGTTTGTGACTTCCTACTGTCTCCCAACCTGAGGATGGTGTCCATTGAAATCCCCTGGAATTCTTTTCTTGTTGTTAAGTTAAACAATGTCTTATCTTTATAGATAGGTTTTTTGTGAAAGTGTGATTGTGTGAAGCTCCCACTTTCTTTTTTCTTTTTAATTATTAACCATGATTTAGATGATCTTTTCTCATTGTATGATAGAAATGATCTTTATTCATGAAGATGCTAAAAAGGAAGACTGGTTCCCTGCAACCAAGAGAATTTTGAAAGAGAGAAAAGAACAAGACTGAACAAATATCATGGTAATACAACTCGAAAATAACACAGAAAGTAACCTCCCTGGCCTCTTGCCCCCAAATACAGTAAGAGAAGAAGTTTCTTTCATAGTTGACCTGTTCATGCGCTGGGCTTCAGGATCAGGTTTACACACTCAGGCTTGGAGCCAGCCCATGAACAGGTCGATTTCCTAGGGATTTCCTTCAATACAGAAATAGATCACAAAAATCTGACAATTATCTCCCCAAAGGCCTCCTAATATCTGAAGGACCACGATTATCAAATGAGCACTGCTGAAATGGGGTATTTTATGCTTCAGCTATAGTGCAGGGGTATTATTGTCATTGTACTATTATATTATGTCACACTAATAACATATTATGTTGCAACAGTGGGACCCTCCAACACCTGATTTCATCAAGCTGAATGTTGACAGGAGCAGTATTGGTAATCCAGGCCCTTCCGGAATAGGAGGTGTGCTAAGAAATGACGGGAGAAATCTTGGAACTGTTCTCGGGACCAATTGGGGAAGGGAATTCCATAAGAGCTGAGCTTGAGGCAGTTCTATATGGTTTACAAAAGGTAATGGAGTTAGGCATTCGGAAATTGATAATCGAAGGGGACTCTAAAGTGATCCTAAGCTGGCTGAGAGGAGAGGAAAGGAGTCCTTGGTGGTTCAGAAATGAAATCAAAAAATTCAGAAATCTGTCAAAAGATATGCAAACTTTAATCCGGTGGGTTCCAAGATCGGCAAACAATTTAGCAGATCAATTAGCAAAGCAAGGGGTTAGAAGAGAACAGACTTTTTGGGCTTGGTTGTACTCCTAAATAGCAAATTTCTGGGTTTGTCTTTCTGTTTTTTCTCCTGTTTTTTCAAGGGTAGCCGAGGCTACTCTCCATTGTAAATTTCTTCTATTGCAATAAAGCTTTCTCTGATTTTACTGATAAAAAAATAACATTACAGTGGGGGATGCCACCAAACCCCCAAGATTCTTCTATTCTTTTCTTCTCCTGTTTTACTCCTCTCTTCTCTCTCTTCATCCTTATTACATGGTATCAGAGCACTTTTCAAGGTGATATGAACTCTGTTTTTGAACTCCACCTAGAGAGTAGATTGAAGGGCTGATCACCTGAATTGCAGAGGAAGGCTTAGAAGATCTCAGACTGGTCTAAACTCTATTTTTTCTCTTCCTCTTGATATTTCTTGGTCACTAAACCAATAAACATTGGTAGTGGTGACTGTTCTGTGATGATGGGAGTGTAGAAACCCATTATTCATCCAAGAAATCCGGATCATGTGATGTTCTGGGTGCTGGGTGTATATCTGATGTTTCCTCTTCATCTTGGAGTGTTTGATAGGTCTGGGAACTAAGCCTGATGCAAGTGGATCACTCCAAGGAAACCTAGAAACCTGTAAAAGCTGCAGTGAGTAATTTTTTGTGCTGTTTCATAGATTGAGATTGGTTCCATCCCTGTCTTTTGGCCTGTTTAGCCTCTCGGGTGGTAGGAAGAAATCTGTAAATGAGTACAGCAGATTTCCTTCAAGATGGTGAAGGTTTTTTGTGATACCCAAGATCTGAATTGATGTTTCCTGGTGGACTCGAGTGTTCTGTGTGAGCTACAGATGCTGTTTTTTCTTTTTGTTTGGCATTAGAGTGAGTGTGGGATTGCTGTTACTTGCTGTTTAGCATTACAGAAAGTGTGACTGTTGATTGGATGTAGTTTGTGTGGATTGTTTTATGATGTGCACCATTTTTTGTTATTGGAGCCTGTGTAAGCCACTGGTTGTATATTCTTATTGGTGGACTGAGTTATTTATCAGTGTTTACTTAATTTGGTATTATGGCAATTGAAGATTCAGCTACATTTGGTATCACTTCCACCCCCTCTTATAGTTAGTAACAGCATGGAGATTGGAGAGCATTAATTTCCCTGTAGCCATTACCCCCCTACATGGATGCAACTACTCGGAGTAGTCCAAAGGTGTAAAACTGTTCATAAGGAGGGAAGCTCGGATACTTGGATGGTGAGAACAAAGGAAACTGAAGGAACAACAACTGGTGTGGGGCCTTTCTTTTGATAAATGAATAATGATTTTATTACTTAAGGAAGTAAGTATACATTCACCCCTAAGAAGAGGCACGAGATGTTACCTCCCCTTAGAGATGAGAACATAACCACACTCTTAACAGGATACAATCATAAGGTGGCCCAAAATAATTCAGCCCTTGAGACCCCTTGTTTAGCCAAAGAATCAGTCAGCGTTTGTTGATCTGCTAACCCACTGAAAACTGACTGACATGTTTCTTGTGAGCCACTTAACTTTCTTGAGAAGATCCCTGTATCCCCAGAATACTATATCTGAATTCAACAGCCATCCCATTACCACTTTAGAGTCTCCCTCAACTATCAAATTTTCCACTCCTAGTTGGTTAGCAACCTGTATTCCTTTTACCACAGCCAGTATCTCAGCCCTTGTGGAATCGCCAAATCCTACTAGACCTGAAAATAGGGATAGGATGTTGCTGTCCTTATCTCTTAAGGTCCCTCCTATCCCCAAGGGTCCTGGATTACCTTGACTGCTCTCATCAAAATTCAGCTTTACCATGCCCTCTGTAGGAGGTCTCCAAACTGCCTTTGATCTATTCTTTTTGGAGGCTGTGGAAGCCACCTCTACCCAACTTTTCCGAAGATCATCAAAAGAGTAATCCCTAAACAAATCTGAAGTTTTCAGCCAAAGAATTGTTGTCCTTGTCAAAATACATTCCTTTACTTCTTCAATGCTTCTTTCCTTTTCTTGGAATATTCTAGCATTCCTTTCCTCCCAAATAGTCCACAAAGTGGCTGCTTTAATGCACTTCCACATTAGTTTCCCTCTCTTAGTTGACCACCCAAAAGTAGATGGATCAAAAAGTAGATTTACTTCAGAGGGCAAATTCCACCTGCACCCAAATAACATAAAGACCCAATTCCAAATATTAGCAGCAAAGGAACAAGATAACACCAAGCGGTAGCAATCCTCATCATGTTCTTTACACAAACTACACCAATTTGGGGACAAACAAAGATAAGGTCTCTTCTTTTGCATATTAGCTATAATGTTGATCTTACCATAGAAAGTTTCCCAACAAAAAACTACTTTTTTTTTAAAAGAACAACTCATCAGAACTTTTACAAAGATCATTAAAAATTCTAGGGCTGTCAATGGTACACGAAAATCTGAGACCCGATCCGACATCCGATCCGATTATCTTGGATTCAGATGATGTATATATGTAATCGGATCGGATTCAGATGTTACAATCTACATCCGATTAATAATCAGATCGGATTCGGATTTGACCCCATCCGGTCTGATTAAAATCCAAATCCAATTATAATATAACATTTATTAATTTTAATATATAACTTTATATAATTATATTTAAAATTATAAAAATATATTTTATATATTATATTATATGTGAATTTATGTATATAATAAATTTAGTGTGTTATATTTATATTAAATTATTATATATAAAGGTTAAAAATAAATAAAATTTTCAATATTTCTAATATTTTAGAAAATTTGTAGCGGAGCCAGATTAAATCCGAATCCAATCCGAGTCCGTTAGGATTCGGATTCGAATCCGAGTCTTTAAATCCGATCGGATTCAGATGTATGCTATCAGTAATCGGATCGGATGCGGAATTTTCTGCATCCGATCCGATTACAGCCCTATAAAATTCTATTGTTCCTCTCAAACCAAATAGTGCTGATCACTGCCGCTGGAATGGTCCTCCAGATGATTTTTGCTCTTTTTGATAGACCCGGAATATACCAACTGAGAAGAAGTTCCCGAATCGATCCTGGCATCACCTAGTTAATGCCCACCACATGCAAGAAATGAGACCAAATCCTCCAAGAAAAAGAGCAATGAATACATAAGTGATCCATGGACTCTTCCATTTGACCACAAATCCCACAATTTA